TGCTCACTTCACAGATAGAAAAGGGCAGATTTTGTCCTTGGCGTGGCAGAGATTTTGCCCTAATCTGAGCCTGAAAGTGAGTTTTGATGATCACAGATTTGGAGAGAAAGGAATGAGATTTAAAAAAAAAAAAAAGAGTCAATGTGTGGGGGGTAAAGTAGTAGGAAAAACCGAAATAACTCCCAAACTGTAAGATCTAATGATCTAATCTGTAGCAATCAACTAGATCATCTGGTGATCAGGAGCATATTATGGCTGTGCTGTCTATTGCAATGATGAAACATAAAACAAGCTTTTGGCTCTCTTATTTCAAATGTAAGAATTAAAGAAAAGAATTCATGTAGAGGAGCTAGTTCAAGGACAGACCAAGGCTATTTGGTCATTCCAATTTTCCCAGGCCACTGGAGACCAGCACTTGGCCTTTGTGCCTGGTTGAGGAGTTCAAATACTTAAAAGTTGATCTTAGCAACTTCTTAGGGACAGAGACAGGTCCTCTCCTGGCTGTGATCACATGCTCACCCAGTAAGAGAGATTCTGCAGGTTAATGGAGAAATGTAGAACTTCACTGGAATAGTACTGTTGTTGCAAAATTATTACTAATCTTTTCTATTAAAATACCAAACATCAAAAACACGGTGTTACGTTAGGTGTTGATATTGGGCAATTACTTATCAATGCTCCTCTGTTTAGAGGGAGGTCCAATAGGTGTTCCTCACCTTTTGAATGCTTGTGGTTAATACATTTCTGGAGTCAGTGTTTAGCCAGCGATTCCGCTGACACGTATTCAGAGGTAATGTTCTTGAAAAGTACGAGCACTGCTCAGCAAGAACGTTTCCATCTGTGTTATCAGCATTATTTTAATCCAAAATCCAAAACACAGCATCATTCCAGCTACTAGGAAGAAAACTATTCTAGCCAAAACCAGGACCTATGTATATTTAAAAGGAAGTATTGCTTGCAGGAGAGATTAACGCCTGCCAAATGCTATGAAAGCTTTGCACTGGCCTTATAGTTTTGGAAGTTGCTCTTTCTTTCTTAGTGCATCCATAAATGAATGGACGTAGCTATAGAGTTGATTAAAGAAGGAACATAATTAAAGGTTGTAATTTTAAAAAGTGGAGAAAATGACAATGGAGTTGAAGATTCAAAATGAGTCTGTGTGATGTAAAGGCTAATGGTGCTAAGGCAATAATCTCTATGAAATAATTGATGCTGCAGACATTTGTCTTTTCTAATAAGATTAAGGACCAGGTGGTGTGATCTTGCTAACTGACTGTTTTGTGACTTTGAAATATGAAGTAATAGTACAAACCTAGTGATTGTTTAATCCACCAGGAAACTCTCAAATCACGGGTCAAATACCATCAAAATATTTCTCTATTCTTAGTTGAAATAAGGTGGAGGTATTATTTAACTTAATACCAGAATATTAAAACAAACATATGTTGCATGGGTTGAAAGGATATCAGGAGCTGGATTTTCCAGATGGTATTTGAGATATTTTGTGAGGACAAACTTACCACTGCTGGTGCCAAACCTGCTTCTTAGACCATTTCTAAGATCATCATGGCTTCCTCAGACAAGACTCCATGTTTCTCTCTCCCCACACATTTTTTTTTTTATAACAGCTCCATGTTTCTAGTGAATGTTACACTGATGTTCCTCACCAATGAATCAGCTGTGTTGTGTTTTTCCTCCTATATTCCACTCTGAGAAAATATATCCTCTCATTTCCTGTAGCCAAGTACAGTTTTTAGAGTGCAAGACCAAGGAGTAGTGTACTGAAATGCTTGCTGTTTTTCTTTTTGAATCCTTCAATTAACAGTGAGCATGTTATTGAAAAGAGGTAATAATTTTGCAAGCGATTAAAGGATTTTTTCTTCCTCAAACAGCTATTTTTCATAATTCCTTAAGGCTTGCTTCTTAGAAGATAGCAGTATTAGGAAATCCTTTCCCTGTTGTAGAAAGCATGTTCCCTCTTCTCCAGTCTCTCCCCTGTTGCTGTCCATGTAACTTATAGTTAACCTCAGTTACACCTCTGTTTCTTTGGCCATGTAGAGCGGCTGGTTTAGATAAGACTTGGTGGTAGAAAAGACTTGTAATAAATACTGGCTTTTTTGCACTGAAAAACTAAAAGCAGAAATAATTGCAAAATGCATGGAATGTTGTTTTATTTTTTATTTGTTATTTTTTTCTGGTGGCAAGCCAGTCCAAAGAGCACAGTGTGTGTATATATGTGCGGTGTTTGGAAAGGTGGCTGCCTGCGGCCAAATTACTGCACTGTGACCCTGTCAGATCTTATAAACTGCACAAGGTTAGGAATGTGGAGGAAAATAAGGAACCACCCCCAGAAGCTGCAGACAGTTGTGCTGAAAAAATTATAGCATTCCATGTTCCCTTGGGCTTTGGTTTTGGATCAGTGCCAGTACTTTGCTGCAAATCTGGGAGGAACTGTTGGGATCTTCTGGAAGAAGAAGTGGTGGTACTGCCTTTTGGGTAGGATGCAGTACCCTGGCATTGTTTTTTTTATGGTCATAAAGACCCTATTACTTTTTTCATGTAATACTGTGCTTGTTTCAGCACTGGAATGCTAATTCATCAGACTTATTATGCAGACTTTCATCAAATCAAACTGCAGTAATTTCACATTGTTTTGGTTGACTGCAGTCTATTTTTGCTTTTACTGGCCATAAGATTCAGAAATTGTATTTCCTGGCATTTTTCAAGAACCACTGGGTTTTACATCAGCCATGCTCACTGAGCAGCATTTCAATCATGAACGAAATGAATTGTGTTTCTATAAGAAATTGTACATGAAAGCAGTTTCCACCCAAGTGAATGGGTGCTATGAATAGGGATAGATACGTGTTATTCCATACGTCCTGTGACATCTGTATGGAATGGGAAAGTATGTTATACTGCTTACTTAAATGTGGATCTCAGGTTCTGACAGTGAGGTGTTTCCCCTCTGGAAAGACTAGAATTTCAGAAGACCTTGGCATTTGTAACAAAATGGGATGGAGCCCTTCAGTCGTGTTTTGACTGCAAATCCTGTGTTTGCACGCCAAGCTTCGAGCACATCAGAAACTCCTCTGTTCTAGTGCAGCAGTGAGCCCTCATCTTCAAGGCCTTTGCCTTTAAAATATTCTACTTGCCAACGATGCAGTCCTTGCGGCGTTCTATTACTGGCAGGTGTGACTATGCTTTGCTTCCTTTGTTTTTGTTTTTAAGAAATAACGTGCCCTCTGAAAAATGAACTTTGATAAACTTATTGATCACATAAAGTGACCTTCTCTAAGCACATATTTCCTTAACAAAATATACTTGTCATGAAACAGAGTTCTTTAGCAGTAACCTTGCACCTTAATGAGTCATTCAGATAAACAGGTTCCAGTGAAGATTGAATTACAATGCTATTCAGCTGACACAAAGCAACCACTAGTTCTTCTCAGGAAACTCATGAATAAATAAAAGATGCTTTGCTGTCAGGCCCAAGACTAACAAAAATGTAAGGGTTCACGCTTTTCAGTGTGATTTCCATGCTCTACAGCCTTGATGTTACCATCAGAATTAGATTGGTGATGAAGATATTTGACATTATGTAAGTAAAGACATTTAAACATAGATAGAAATGTGGGGGTATGAGTGGAAATATCTATCATTAACTCAGAACAATCTGTTGGATAATAACCTATGATATTTAGCTTGTGCATATATGGTACAATTCATATGCCTTGCCATTTTGCATGTGAAGGGGCCATATACAAAATTATTTTTAGAATTCAATTTTAGTGAAAAATAAGATGTTTGAAATATTTCAAAGGACTTATTTATGCTTACCATCTACCAAAGCCAATGAATTTCTTGCAGGATGTTATCCATTCTGTTGCTGCATTGTTTTTTTTATCATGATTTCAGACCAGAGGTGTTTATCTTTACATTTACACTTTGTGTTCATTTTGTAATTACAGTTGAATAGTCAGTCTCTAATGTTTGTAATGAATAATGTGCTGCACGTGTGTTAATTCAAGGGACAGCCTGTTGAATATGCATACAAATCTACTGTACACATGCACTGCTCAAATACAGTGATGGTCATTGTGCATATTTTGGAAGTACTGTACAGAACTGAAGTTTTAGAGGTGATTTAACTATACCAGTAAAAGAACACTTTAATTACAGTGTTGTAAGTTGCATCTCATTATGTATTTATTTTTTAACAAACCTATTTCTGATCCTTTTCTAGTGAAAAATGCTCCAGCTCACCTATATGTTACTATCCACAAAGTGGATAATCCCATAGATATCCTTATGTTGTCGATTTTGACACTGATACACTAACAAGCCAAATTCTGGGAATAAGAGAAACAAATGTAGTGTATTTGTGCTCGCTTTTACATTGAGCTGATTTGTTTGAAATTATCACAGTACTGATATTGAGTTTTGTCTATTGCAGTAATTAATGGTCTTTATAGTGTTGTTTTATAATTGTAGTTCTCTTGGTAAGAAAAGAAGATGCTAAACAAAGGATTAAATATTTTTGAAATAGCATCAAATTCTCTAAAGATATGGCAGAAACAGGTGCCTCTTCAAATTATATTTCCTTGAAAATGTAGTGTGTTTGTCTTTAGAAAGGATTTTGAGAATGTTGTTGTTGCTGGCTCCTTCCAGAAAACTTTAAAATAGCAAACCTGAAGATGCCTCGTAAGTGCTTGTAGGTGAGCTGACCAAAAAAAAACCCAAAAAACAAAAAAGCACAACACAGGGTTTCTAATGGTACTTTGTATAAGGCTGATGTCAAACTTCAGTCTTTTTGCTTGCCCTGACATTGTCTTTAGAGCATTATTTCTATTATCCCTTTCAAGAAGTTTTCAGGGTAACTTGCAGTGAAAAACATGTCAGTGAAACACACTGTTGTAAGAAGGGTAAGTGCTACTCAGCTCATGCAAACACAGTTTAAATGAACTGGTCACTCATTTGTGTTGTTTCTTTGTACACAGTTTGGAAATGATCCATCATGCCTGCAGTCTGCAACTTCAGCATGCACATCTGATCAGGTTGAGTTTATAGAAGAGACCCAGATTTCTAAGTCTCATGTCACCGCATTAAATCAAGAGTATCATCACTGGCTGTTTTCAGTAAGTTCTGTCTCTTTCTCTTCCTTGCATGAGTTCTAGCAACAGCGGATTGGAGATCTTTTGAGGCAGATAGTTGAGGGAAGGAGAGTTTAGCTCCACCATCTTTATAACGTTAGATGTTGTATTGATTTCTTAGAGTATTGTAGATACAAATGTGTACTTAGGATATAATTTTAAATTTGAAAGGAGAATTTAGGAAAGGAAAATGTGATATAAATAGGAATTGGAGTGTTCCATTCTGTATACATGTACACAAAATTGCAAGATCCAATGCTGGAGGGTTGTGTTCAGAACAGTCCAGTCTGCTCGGGCATGTACATACATATGGACACTTGATTCTGAATATCAGCAGATTTTTCTGACTGGACTTCCATGTGCTTGCATGTGTTCTAATTTTCAAGCACCTTTTGTAGTTAAAGCACAAAAAAAACATATCAGAGGTTCTTTGGATATAACAACTATAGGATTGTGTTGGTGTACCAGAGGGTATTGGGGTGTGGCTCAAATACAGGGCCTTGGTTTCTTCTCAGATAAAATACTGTTATGTAAGTACAAACATCTTTGAATACATGAAGGGGCAAATTTTTGTTTCTTTTTAAATTCAGAGTTGTAGATGGAACACTACATTCTGTTTTCTGTAATTAATAGCTGTTTTATCTGCTTTTGCTTTTATTACATGAAGTATTTTGCTTCTTTCTGGAATGTAAAATTATAGTGTGTTTTTTTTTCTGTTTTTTGGGAGAGAGGAAGAGATTGACTTAATAACGAAAACAAAAGTATTGAGAAAAAGGGAGACAAACTTTCTAAAGCTTTTGTAGATGGTACATTGAACTAGTTGTGTTGAGCAGAATTTTGCAGTCTGTTTTCAGCAGCAAGTGCAGCTCTGCATGTAGAGACCTACTGTGTACACGGCTAAAACTTGTCAGTTGCCTGAGAAAGCTAAGCCACAATTTCATGGTTTTCCTTGCCATAGAAATGCTTGCTTAATCAGGGTACTTCTTCCCCTGTCCACCCCAGCATTATTTTTAGCACAGCTCACTGCCTTATGCAATTCCCTGTGCAGATGCAGAATCAGTTGTAATGGCACAACTGAGAACTGTGGCATGCCTGTGGGGAGGGAGCAATGGGCAGATGTTTGTTCATGCTGCTTCCTGCAGAAACAAACCCTGGCATTTAATAGTACATTGTAACAATAATGGAGACACATGAAAATTATTATTGGAAATTCAAGAATTTCAGGAATTGTGTATATTTTCTATATTACTTTGGAAACGCTATAAAAGCCCTAAGACACTTAAATCATTGACACAGGAAAAGCTTTTGATAAGTTTGGATCTCTAGATTGACTTTATTCTTAGTTTTTTGTTTTGTTGATGTGGAAACAGAACAATTGCTTCTGAATGCAAAGCAATGTGAAACTTTGTCACTTGGCAAGGAAACATCTATCATCTATTAGAGATTTACGTTTTTGGCAACAGCTAAGCCAAGTTGTACTTCAAATTTTTGTCTTTATCAAGAGCATAGTGTCAGATATTCATTTACACATACTAGTTCAAGATGAAGTAGCTTACATCATTCCTGTTCTGTAAGTTCAGAATTACCTGAAACAGAGTAAACTGAAAGTTCCAGAGCTTCCATTTAGGTATGTACTTGAGGGATTTATTTCTCAACCTGAAGCAGGTAGATATATGCATATATATATATTTTTTTTCAGATAAATACTGTCTTCAAATGAGACAGAAGAGCATTATTTGCTAGTGCTAAGCCAATTACGCATCTTAAAATTCAGTTTACAAAGCAGAACCTCAACGTTGAAACTTGTTCCCTAGATCTCTTCATGTCCCAACATTAGCAACTGTTGCTCTTAATTCTTTCAAAATGAAACAGATAATTTTATTAGTCTTGAGATACTGTTTATCACAGCAAACCTATTTAGTATGGTGGTGCCTCTTGAGTGACGTGTAAGTAATGACTGTCTTGATATGTTCTGCACAAAAAACAGAAGACTGTGTGTTCAGGGATAATGTAGTGCACTTATTACTCTTCAAAAAAATGTTTCCTAATGGATGGCTAGTGAACAACAGGGCCAAGCGTTTTGCAGAGATGCACAGTGAAAGCAAAATAAACAATAGGCTGCAGCAAAAGAAATTCTTATTAGATCTAAGCCAAATGTTCTTTCATCATCATTAGATGATGGACAAACACCAGGAAAATTGACAGAGAGAGAAGTAGGACAATGACAGTGAGAGCAGTAGGTACCTTGATGGCAGGATTATGGTTTCCTGACAAAATACTGAACAATATTTCTTTCATATTATATTTATTTGCAGTACTTTGGGGCTCATTTTAAGTTATGTTCACTCCTATTCACTGTTTAATTGCAAATATAATGCTTACAATTAAATAATTATATCTTATAATATGAATAATTAAATTATAATCTAAATAAGTTTATTTATATCAGAAGAATTTTTAGAAGTGCAATTCTTCTACTGTATGATTAGGCAATGGCTTCACTGCTAGAGGAAAATCCTCTAGTATTTTAGTAAATGAAGACCAAATATGTATATATTTTTAATCTACATACAAAAGTTTTTTTGTCATTAGCTTTCTGCATACATAAATATAGCAGACTCACACCAGTTACCTGTTAGTTACCAGGCAACAGCAGCATTTGACACCACCTGCAGCTGCAGTGAAAGACGTGCAGGTCCTTGATTGTAAATTAAAGGGCTCTGAATGTTGAACTAAGGTTGATAAAAAGGGCGTTAGTGCAAGTACATTGCCATTTTCACCACGGTAGCAATATGTCAGCAGAGTTTCTCTAACAGCATCAGTTTGCTGAGATATAACCATCTCGGACACACTCATGGTGGAAAAATTGTAATTACTGTATTCTTCAGCAGTACAGTTTTCTCTGAAGTAAGCTGTATTCCATGTAAGCCTTTTGCCTCTGTGCAAAGCAGGAATCTGTCATGATGGCTTCTGAAATATTTTCTTGGATTCCTTGTTTAATGAGGTGAGTGCACTAGATGTTCATCATGTCAGGCAAAACCTGGGCTGAAAGGAAAAAAGAAAGATTTTTTTTTTTAAATTCATGAGTATTATGAGCATTCCGTGCTATTCAGAGGTACTTTGCAGTCTCTTAATGATGGCAGAGCAATGAGGCTGGGTATTAATGAGATAGTCGGAGTGATTCTGATCACTGTGCTGGAGTTCAGCCTAGCTGTCTGGCTCTCTTGCTATTGTATATAGAAGTGTGTGTGACTGTATATGCAGCATCCACTTACAAGTGGCCACAGTTTGTCTCCATGAGGAGTATTTACTGAAAGTGGTGCACTACCTGTGACCTTGGTGTAGCTTATTCTGGGGAGGGAGCGGGGGGAGAAATTAGCCCCAGCATATCTTGTGATGTTTTTTCATACTCTTTCCACATGCACCCAGCTGTCTGTGAAATACTTACACTGCTCTTAAAGAAAGCTTGACAGGTGATTTTCTGTGTTTAGCGGGAAGGTTGCGATCTAAATGCCTTATTTCTGAAACCTACTGAGAGTGAGATATCATGTTAGGATTTCACTGAATGTTCCTATGAAGTTTCTGTACTGGTTAAGTTTTTACCTTCTTGAAAAAGCAGTCGTTTCAGACACATTCTGCCCGTTAGTTCACTGTTACCTGGAAGGCGGCGGGTGGACAAAGGAAATGAGTCGCGTCTAACAGAGCGAGGAGATAATGAGCTATATAAATAATTAGCAGTACATTTTATACACGTGCTCATACAGAGCCAAAAGCACCTTGGCCTGAGAGCATGATCTCAACAATGTAGGTGAGATTACCCATTTCAGCAAGACAGATGATTTTCTCTGTGCAGCTTTTTAGAATTCATGAAATGTTTAATGCAGTCATAAAGGAACAGAAGGTGATCCACAGCAAAGCACACTGCATTAAGACCACTAGTGGGCTTATTTTGAAATTTACTTCTTTTTCTTTTCTGTTACCTTCTGTAGCAATAGATGGCATGTTTCATATAGCTGCCATGAAAATTTGCAGATCAGTTTTCACGTGAAAGTCCACGGGGGGGGGAAAAAGGGCATAAAAATGTAACATATAAACAAGGAACACAGATGTGAAATGTACTCTACCATCTGTATTGCTTCAGTTGACAGAAGATAAAATCCAATACTGGACCCAAACTGGTCTTCCAGAGAAGACTGGGGGTTAATTTAGGTGGGAAATTGTCTTCTCCAAAAATCCAGGGCTATTATTTTTACTTTTATATATATATAAATTTTCATTTAGGTAAGAAAGTAACTATGGAATATCTATTAAGTATAGGATAACTCAGTATCTCGTTACTAACAGTTTCCTAGTCTACTGTAGGCAGGCAGAATTTTACTTTCAAATGTTAAAAAGATGTTAGACTAGCAGTTATCATTGTGTAATGAAACAAATTTCTGGCCACACTGGTTTGTTGTGTTTATGTAGCTGTCTGACTAAGGCATGTGACTTTATTCTTAAGAATTCCGCCTGAGCTACTTCTAGTACTTTAAAATCCTGTGTTTGCATTTGTTTATTCATTTCTATGCTAGCATTTTCTTCCCCAATTGCTGGCTGACTTCTGTACCGCTCAAAAAGGGCCTTTGTTTTTTAAATTCATAGTTCAATTTTATAGGTTTGGACTGGTGATTTGAACAAGTGTCTCTGCCTGCTCTTTCAGATGTGATGCTTGTTTGTTGCAGCTTGTTCCAGTTAAATAAGTACATTCTAGAATAGATAATTCCCAATATTTTGGCCACGCTGCTCCTGAATTATATATGAAGTTTTGTAAATATAATGAAACTTGAGAGTTATATATCCATCCTGGGTAAGTTTATTCTGATCAAAGCAAACCTCTGCAGGAAGTATGTATTATTTCTGATGGGGCACCCAATAAATGAAAGCCACTTGCTTTCATGAGAAGGGTGCTCAAGCCAAGGCAAGCCTAGTGACATTAGCTCAGTTCT